TCTCCATCTCAGCTTTCAGTATGCATCTGAAGGAACTATCTAGAACTTTCTTTGAAAGAACAATTCTTGGTTGAGTCACATTCTTTTGTGGTGTTCAGTTCCTGCACATATATTGTTGTTTACTCTTTTTGACATAGTTTGAATGTACAGATGATGAGGTAGAGTCAGCAGACAAGACTCTCTTATATGTCTCCATATTATTCTTCATGCTTCATTCTGCAAAAACTGACACAAAAATTATAAGAATATCCAGTCCAGGCAAGATTTATTTTGTCAGCAGAGCTCAACAATTCAGTTTTAAAATTGTGAGTTTCCAACATAAAGATTACAACTAACTGTTGAAGCTTGTCAATACAGTCCATCAATAAGAAAGAATCACTTATCTTATTTTCTATAGAAAGTTTATGGCACAGACAAGATATGTTTACATTAATATGTCTCCTGAAAGCCATAGTTCTTGACAATTTCAGTCACCCACTGAATATTTTATGATTCTAGCCACCGTATTAAGTGTAAACATTCACAAAACATAGCTCTGGGAATAATAGAGGACTAATTATGTCACACCTTATTTGACTATTTTGCCATTCCGTCACGAACTGTTAAAAACAGTGGTGTGCTCTACAGGAATGCAGACCTGAAGCTCAAGCTGCAGAAGTTATTGTTTCAGGTGTGGGAGATAATCATTTTCAGTTTATTCATATTCCTGTGGCTCTTTTGTTTATCATGACTCTGGGTGCTGTACAAAAAAGAAATATAGCGCTTTAAATATTTATGTACCTCTCTTCCAACTGTGACAGCAGGAAGAAAACCATGGGTCTAAGATCTTGTCCACAGATTTTCCAAATATATATTTATTTATGTTTTATTGAATGTATTTGTGCCACAATCAACCGGATTCTCAACAGAATTTTGATTCATTGCTGGTGAGGAGTTATATTGACAGAGGGTCACCAACAGATGCTTCTTGAAAAAGGAAGAAACTTTGTCTTCCATGCTTCATAGAAAAATCTGGCGTAGGCTGGGACAATCAAGTAACAACCATAGCCATGTTTATTCTGCCTCAACTCTCTGAGAGTTCTTAGATCAGATGCCTTATTCAGCACCATGCTGAAAGGTTGATCTATAGTCTGTCTATTTATTACACAGGTACATCAAGTCTGAAACTGGAAGGAAACAGTATTAAAATTACCAATTAAATAGGATTCAGGTCAGGCAATCCTACTAATGCTATCAATATCTGATCCAGTTCTACAGTCCATCCATGTCTTAGACTGTCAATCCTATTGATGAGAATAAGTCTTTCTTCCAAGTAAGGGAGCTTAGGACTTGAACCATATATATCCAAAATAAATATTGTACTTAGCAAAGTTTTTTTTTTTAAAAAAAGACAAACCTTTGCTCTTCTCTTTTAAAGGTAAAGGTAAAGGTTCCCCTCACACATATGTGCTAATCGTTCCCAACTCTAGGGGGTGATGCTCATCTCCGTTTCAAAGCCATCCAAAGATGTCTCCGTGGTCATGTGGCTGGCATGACTAATCCCCAAAGGTGCACGGAACACTGTTCTTTTACAGCTAGCCAATTACATTCTTCCCCAGACTCTTTTGTTAAAATCTCGTTCAGCTCCATGGTTACAGAATTCTCTTACAACTGGTTTGTTTGGGATGGTCTGGAAAGCTATCAATCATCAAAATAGAACATGCATGTTGTTAGGATTGCAATAAGAAAATGATTATTAAAAACATGGTAATAATGTTACTTGTAAGATAAAATGATTTTTAAACAGGATAAAGGCAGCATTGCAGTGCTGTTGAAACTTCAAATGGTGTTTTTCACAATATTCCAGCCACAATATCTCACCCATTCAATATCTCTCTGCCTTTATTTCTCTCTGCTTGCTCCTTACATTGTTTAAAGCAAAGTTTTTTTCTGTTTTTCTCTTCAGCATCTTCAGTTTCAGGGACCTGTCTCCATTACAATGTTTATAACCATTAACTGGACAAAGATCAGTCAAAAAGTTTTGTTTATTTCTCTACCCCCACCCACCCCTTTCTGAACTGCTTCTTTGTACATTGTCCTATTTCGGTAATAAACCAAATAAACAAATGAAGAAGTGTTCAGTCTAAGAAAAATAAGACTGAGGGAAAATATAACATCAATGTCCAGTTGCATAAAAGGGTGCCATAGGAATTATTTTCTATTACCATAGAAACTGGAGGCAGAAATAAAGGGTATAAGTTGCAGCTGACTTCTTTAAATATAAGTAACATTTTCTGATGTTAAAATCTATACAAACCTGCACAATTTACCTGTGGAAGTTTTCCATTTTTAAAAAGAGGCTGGATGGTTTGAATGGGGGTTTTCTTTTGCACGTTTCAGAAGATTGGACTGGAACAGGGGTGTCAAATTCAATTTCATTGAGGGCCGCATCAGGGTTGTGTTTGACCTCGGGGAACTAGGGTGGGAGTGGCCAGGGTGGGCATGGCCAGCTCAACATCACTTGTGTCAGGGGCGCCTGTGGAGGCCTGAGTGCTCTGCCAGAAAAAATGGGCTCCCGAGCTCTGTTTTTGGCTGCGAGGGCCTCCTGCAAGTTTCTGCCAGTGAAAATGGAGTTCTGGTGGGCCACACGCAGCCCTCCCGAACTCCGTTTTCACTGGCAGAGACATTGCGGGCCAGTCATTGTTTCCAGGATGGCCCCGCAGGCCAGATCTAAGCATCCTGTGGGTCCTGTGGGCCAGATCCAGCCCCTGGGCCTTGAGTGTGACATCCCTGGACTAGATGATCTTTCCAGTTCCTTCCAAGTTCCCAATTTATGATTCCTAGTTTTCTTTTGTATTCCTTCCAAACCATTCATCTCTCTTTCCATTTGACTTATCATAATTATATACTAAAACTTATATTAATAAAAACAGAAAGGGTTAAGGTGCAGTTAATTTATTACTAAGCTAGGAAGTAGTATTTCCTACATTTTTATGTGTACCGGGTAGCTTATCATATCCAGGCTGCAAAAATCAGATGATCACTAGATAGAGACAAAGAGATATAGAATCCTTACTTTTGGTGGGCAACATTTTTCTTGCAGCTTCTTTGTCCTCTGATAGTGAAACTTGGTAGACTATCAGAGACCAAATTTAGAGCCAATTTGATATAAAGAATAAAGGCACTAGCCTAGAATCCATGAGGCTGAATTTTAGTCTTATCTTTAAGATAAATTTAGCTGTATAATTTTAGGCCAGTGGTTTTCTCTCAGACCTAAGAGGAATGCAGTGACTAACCATGTTATATGTTGTTCTATAACTATTTATCTATAAGGAATGCAATAGAATGGTTGATCAAATCTCCAAATCAAATTGTTGTGTATTTTTTTTACTACAAACACCATCCTCCCCCTACTCAACTCCTTAATACAATGTTTCAAATGCCTGTAATGCAATTTTACAAAGCTCACCTAGAGAAATAACTAATGTTCAGAATAAAATAATACTTCTGAAATGTTCTTCCAAGTAAATCAGCATATGAATAGAATAAAATTTAGCATCTCCCAGTTTTTTTAAACTGCATAATTGTCTATCTAACCCCTTCCTTCCTTCCTTCCTTCCTTCCTTCCTTCCTTCCTTCCTTCCTTCCAACACGAATTAAATGTGCTTCAATGTTATTTATATTGGCTGATGTCAAATGTATGGAAAGGGAGCTGTCTGTACATGTCTCTGTGGTATCAGTGAATGGTATAATAACAGCAACTTCAGGTTTTAAAAGATAAGAGAATCTCTCACTAAATCCTTCTTATAGCATAATTCTAAGACTGCAGTAGAAGAGGAGTAGATAGGGAACACTGAATTTCAATTCCCCACAGACTATGTAAGTATATGGACTAACCAAAGCCATAGGGAAAACAGTTTAAATAAGACTGTTTTAATGAGATAAGCTAAATAAATAAGATCAGGAACTGTTCTTTGGATTCAGTAATAAAGCAGAAAATTAGGAAATATTAGATATAGCTGCATTGAAATATCTTTTTTCTAGGAGTATGTGCAAAAAAAGGAAAAGTTTTTTTTCTCCCTGCTCTCAGAACAAAACAGCTCCCTTCATAAGGTTTCTGAGAATGTTTTGAAAATCATAGAGTACATTGACAACTTGAATCAAGCCTTTACTTTCTTATTATGAGGGTTAAGACTACAAAGGCAATTTTTGTTTACATTGTCTCTCTCTGGAATTTTTTTAAAAAGTATATTTTTTAAAAAAAAAAAGTCACTTGTTTTATCATTTTTTTATATGTTAGATCTATGGTCACCTCATGAGGAACAGCCATCCAGAGTTCACAGTATACTATACCTTGATATTACTATCACGGTCCATGATAGTAGTGTTGTGGTTCGCCAGCAGCCTGCAGAGCTGGCAGCGGAGTCGGACAGCAATGAGGCTGAGGAAGAACATGGGCCAGTCCTGCAGGCTGGGGAAGGCCCGAATGAGGGTTCTGCGTCAGAGGCAGAGATGGGGTCAGGGCCATCTGGGAGTGATGTGCGGACTCTGGAGACTCCAGAGGCTGACAGCAGAGAGGCAGAGGAACAGGAGGAGCCTGTTCTTAGTGCACATATGAGAAGATCTGCCAGAAGGCAAGAGCAGCTAAAGCAAAGAGGACGACTCAGGAGTAGGGCCAAGAGATGATTGGTCCCTCCCATAAGTCTTAAAAGACCAGCACGGCTCTTGGGCTCTTTGTTGGAAAACAACGTTGATAGTCTTGCTGCACTTATCTCTTGTCGGCATCTTCTGCTTTTGAACTTTTGCCAAGAGAAGCCTTTGGCAGTTTGCCTAATTATACCAAGATTAGACTGAAGAATTTGTGTTATGAAGAGTTTGTTTTAATTTAGTTTGGACTACGCTGAAAATGAGTTAATTCTTCAGTCTAATTTAATTAACTCATTCTCAGCTGTTCTAATAAAGTCTGTTTGTTTTGGAACTGTTTGCGTCAGTTACTACCTACTTGGGTCACAACAAGTATATGATACCATGGCAACAGATGAGAATATTTGAAACTCAGGGTTGAACTGTGAGATTCTTGGTGCTGTCTAAGCTTGGTTGTTTTCATGCAGGCAGGCAGGTGAGCCCACCTGCGATTTCGACTACCGGTTTGGGCGAACCAATCTGAACCTACTGAATACCACCTCTGGTTCTGATTTGTCTGAGTGCCAAGTTTCCAGGAATTCTCTACAATTTTTGGCCTTGGCTTGATTTAGAATACTCTGTTTCACAGTTGAACCTTTGGTTAAGTCTGTTCACATTTTGTGAAATTAAGGAGTAAGAATGCAAACTAAATCAATCTTTTTTCCCCATTATTTAGTTATTTTAGAATATGTCAAGTAAAAGAGAAAAACCTGCTGTGTGTTAATAGCTTGCTTTGAAAAAAGTTGGTTTAGATAATTTTCTTTATAGGGGAAGAGGATGTCTTTGAGTGTTTTAAGGTGATTCAAGAACTGGAAAACATGAGGAAGTATAATGATTTTAAAAAGCCTGGAGAACATACATGAAGAAACCAAGGATCTCAGTTGAACTTGATTTGTGGAAACAAGTGTTGGTATGTATAAAATCCAGTCATTAAACTTTCTTAGACTTAGAATAACTTTATTGTCACTTTAAATATATACTAATTGGCATGCATTAAAATAAAATATTATTATATTGTATGACATAGAGAAACAACACAGTCTAGGCTGGATGTATACATGTACATGGCGAGAAAAACGAATCTTGCGAGTTTACCAGACGTGTAAATATGGCTTTATAAAAGATGTACAAAGTTATATAAATGGAAATAGTATAATATTTTACTTTCTGTCTGCACTAACAATGTAGTAGCAGGGACTGCTTAAAATTATGTCAGCATAACTTCATCAGGCATATTTGTGTAAGAAATGACTGGGAGTTAATGGTGGCTCTACTGAGTTTTTGGCTGCATGATTACTGTAAAAAAAATGGAAATTTGGGACTATGCTAACTCTTGCACAAAATTTTTGGCACAGTTTGGTTAGGAGTGTCTCTCAAGTGATTGGGAAACTGCATCTCTTCAGTATCTACCTTGGTGCATCCTTTTCCAAACCAAGGTTGACCTAAAACTAATGGATTCAAGGAAGTTCCTAATTTATAAATTCATTTAATATACAAGACTCAGTAAAGCATTTAAAGCTTATGCTATGAGGAATATTAAACTCTTGATCCTAATTTCTCATTTCTTGAGGGTTTTGAAGCACGAGTGGAAATTGTAATGATTGTTAGCACTCTCACCTTAAACTAAAGATTTTTAAAATTATTACTAAACATATTTCCTTGCTGTTGAAAAGGTTACAAGACCTGCTACCAAATACAATCAAACAGGGAATTCCATGGCCAGAACATTTGTTCCAAGAATTCTATCACTGGAACTCAGATTGTTATGCAGAAATGGACACCAGCTTCCAGCCTGATATTTCAGTTGTGAAAAGATATTATGCATTGCATCATATATTGTATTTACATTCTCCTGTTGAAAAAAAAAGTATTTCTTTGTTTAGACATTTTAGAAAGTACAAGCTGTAAAATTATAGGTGGCAGGTCTAGAAAAAAAAAACATGTATCTGACTTTCAATTTAAAATTAACACTGAATTATGTTCTTATATTAACGCTGAATGGAGTCATTTCATTAATAATAAATGTGCCTCTTTGTTGAACAAAATATAAAAAGAAACAGTGATTGAATTTTCTCCAGGCTTTTTAAAAGCAGTTTAGTGCTGCTACCTCTTCATATTACTTTCATATTACTTTTTGATTCTTTTCTTTTTGTCTCTTAGAGTAAGTGTTGATTCTTGGCAACTGCCTGAACTAGTTGCTCCATCACAGGAGGTTTCTATGAAGAGATTGGAAAGCTATTTGTCTGAAATGGTCTCCTGCTTGAACTAGGGCTTAGACTCAGTGGTGGGTTGCTACCGGTTTTTCCCGGATCTGGCAAACCAGTAGCAGTAGCGGTGGGAGGTTCCGCTCACCCACCCGGACACCTCTGCGCCTGCGCAGAAGCATTGCACACACACCGGTAGCAAACTAAATTGAAACCTACTACTGGTTAGACTAGACCTCGATTCTATTATTCTTAGCAAGATTTTAGAAGTGGTTTGCCATTGCTTCTTCTTAGGGAGAAGAGACAGACACACACACACACACACACACACACACACACACACAGAGAGAATATATGTATACAATAGTCAAAGATATAACACAATGCACAAAGGCACACACCTATACAAAGACAAAAAGTGTATTTTATAGATAAAGGTATTGTATAAGTGTATGTAAATCATTTATATCTCACTGATTATGGGCAAAATCAGCCAGAGCTAAACACTGCATTGATACTGTTTACAATGAGAGACTTTTTTTTTATTTCAAAAGTTTTACAGTTACATCTTCACCCCATTTTTCCCCCCCCACCACCCACCCCAAACATCCCAACCTCCCTAACCCTCCCTAACCCTCCCCTCCCCCCAGACTTCCACACAGTATACTCATATCAGGTAAAAAAAAAACCTTAGTATAAAACTTGTATAAAACTTGAACCCTCCCCCTCATAATTTTTCTTTTTATCTTCATTACATTAAAATATTTGTAATACATTATTTTCAAATAAAAGCTATTTGATACTTCCTAGTTTGATATTTGTTCTGAACATATTCTATCCACTTTTTCCATTCCCATTCATAAGTCTCTTGTGAACAATCTTTTAAGTATGCTGAAATCTTCGCCATCTCTGCAAAACTGGCCATCTTCAAAGTCCATTCCTCAATAGAGGGCAAAGCTTCGTTTTTCCAATATTTACCTATCAACAATCTTGCTGCTGTTATCATATACAATATCAATTTTGTTTCACCCAATGTAAAACCCTTAACTATACCCAATAAGAACAGTTGTGGAGAAAATTGAATTTTTTTCTTCAAAACATTCTGCATGACCCACCAAATTTTTATCCAAAAAGCCTTAACTTTCCTACAGGTCCACCAAACATGGTAATATGTAGCATCCAAGCATTCACATCTCCAACATTTTGGCTGAACATTAGGGTACATACATGATAACTTTTTGGGGTCTAAGTGCCATCTATAAAACATTTTGTAGAAGTTTTCCCTCAAATGCTGCAACTGTGTAAATTTAACATTCTGAACCCAGATTTTTTCCCATGTTTCCAAAATCACTGGTTCTTCAAAATTTTGAGCCCACTTAATCATACAATCTTTAACTAATTCGGTTTCTGAATCCCTTTCTAACAAAACATTATAAAGCCTTTTAATATGCATTGGACCTTTCTCTTTTATATGTCTAACCAATTCTTCCTCATGCAACATAATACCAGTTTTTTTATCCTCTTTCCATCTCAATTGCAATTGATTATATTGTAGCCAGGTTAAATTAATCCCTTCAGCCAACAGTGTCTGTAGTGTCTTCAGGTGCCATCTGCCCGCATCTGTAAAAAGAACCTCTTTATATAAAAAACCACCGAGTGACATTATATTTGTATTCCACAAAGTATGACCAAGATCCAGCCATAGCGGTATTTTATAATCCCATTTGAGTCGGTGCTTCTTCCAAACTCTCATCAAAGAGTCTCTAAGTATATGGCTTTTAAATACTTTGTCGACTTTATCATCATAAAATAAGTAAGCATGCCATCCAAATTCAAGATCAAAACTTTCTGCGTTCAATATTCCAGTCTTTTTCCTTCCAAACCAATCACTTGTTAAAGTCAAAGCTGCTGCATCATAATATAACTGTAGGTTTGGTAATTTAAGACCTCCCCTTTCTGGAACATCTTGCATAATTTTCAATTTCACTCTCGGCTTTTTCTCGTTCCAGACAAACTTGTTCACTCCAGCTTGCCACACTTTCACTTGTTTATCACTTTTAAGCACCAGAATCATTTGAAACAGAAAAAGAAATCTTGGCAAAATGTTCATCTTAACTGCTGCTATTCTTCCAAGTAGAGACAGTTGCAGTTTTTTCCAAGTCTCTAAATCTTTCTGCACCTCTCGCCACAACACCTCGTAGTTATTTTGAAACAATTTCGTATTTGATTCTGCAACCTGGACTCCTAGATATTTTACCCTTGGTACAACCTCAAAACCTGCCCTCCTTTCAAGCTCATGTTTACGATCTTGTGTCATATTTTTAACTATCATCTTAGTCTTTTTATGATTCAGTCTAAAACCTGAGACTTTACCATAGTCTTGTATAATGTCCTTCATCAGGATTATTGATTCCATTGGCTGTGTTAGGGTAACAACTAGATCGTCTGCAAATGCCTTTATTCTGTAATCATCTTGCCTTATCATTATACCTTTCAAGATATTAGAGTCCCGTATTGTATTTAGCAAGACTTCTAGTGTTAAGATAAATAAGAGTGGGGACAGCGGACATCCCTGTCTTGTTCCTTTTTCAATTTTAAACTCTGTTGTCAAGCTTCCGTTAATAATAATCTGTGCCTTTTGCTCTTGATAAATTGCTGAAATCGCCTGTACAAATTGATCCCCAAAATTCATCTTTTTTAAAGTCTTTAGTAGAAAATTCCAATCCACTCTATCAAAGGCCTTCTCTGCATCCAAGAAAACCAGCACTGCAGGGATCTGTTTATTCTTCTCAAGATATTCCAATAGATCTATTACTTGCCTTACATTGCCCTTCATGTATCTACCCTCGATAAATCCCGCTTGATCATCATGAATCACCTTTTGAATTACTGGCATCAACCTGTTGGCTAATACTTTCGCATAAATTTTATAATCAGAATTCAGAAGAGATATTGGTCTATAATTCTCCGGTTTTTTAGGACCGGCTTGCTCTTTTGGTATCAAAGATATGTAAGCTGTTGTCCATGATGGGGGTATTTTGCCCCCTTGTTGGATATTGCAAAATAAATCTCTAAGTTGTTCCACCATTTCAGCTTGCAAAGTTTTATAATAGACTGCAGTCAAGCCATCCGTACCAGGAGCTTTAGCTGTTTTTAATTGTTTAATTGCTACTATTATCTCCTCCTCTGTTATAGGATAATTCATTCTTTCCTTTTGTTGATCAGTAATTTTTATAACTTTTTTATCATCTAGGTATTCTTCTATAAGTCCATTTTGCACATTCTCTTTAGCATATAATTTAGTATAATAATCCACAAAAGCTTCTTTAATTAATTTTTGTTGAAAAATGTCTTTCCCTCCAATATCAATACTATCAATAGTCCGTATACTCTGTTTTTTCCTCAATGTATAGGCCAACCATCTGCCCGGTTTATTAGCGTTACAAAATGTATTATGCTTCGCATATTGTAAATTTGTTGCAACTTGTTCCGCCATAAGCATTTGAAATTGATCTTTCAAAAGTTTTATAGCACCACGCATTCTTTCATCTGTTGGATTTTTAATAAGTAACTGTTCTTTATTCTTTATTTCTGCTTCCAATTCAGATCTTTTCTTTTGTCGAATCAGTCTATGTTTAGAGTTCATATAGATAAGCACCCCTCTCATGTAAGCTTTGCTTGCGTCCCACACAATTTCTATTGGGGTGCCTTTATTCAAATTTAGTTGAAAAAATTCTTTCAGGTGCTTTTTAAGTTCTATTATATTTTTTTCATATCTGAACAAGTTCTCATTTAGTCTCCAAGAGCGTCTCTCAACCTTGTCCATCTCAATTTCTATCCATACTGGGCTATGGTCAGTCAAAGTTCTTGGAAAAATCTTTGTTCTTTTTGTCTTAACAAGTAAATCATCTGACAACAAAATGAAATCGATCCTAGAGAAGGATCTATGTCTGTCTGAAAAGAAAGTATAGTCCAATTCTTTTGGGTTGTGTATTCTCCAAATATCTTTTAATTCCAAATATTCTTTCATATCAAAAAAGGTCTGTGGTAACCTAATCCTAGACTTCGCCAAACTCTTTTTATCTAATTTGGAGTCAATTACTCCATTCCAGTCTCCCATGATTAAAATAGATCTATAATCCCATTGCAGTATTTTAGAATGTAGCATTTTGTAAAAGTGATCCTGTTGTTGATTGGGAGCAAAAATTCCAATCAAAAGAATTTGGCCGTTTGTTGTAAATAGTTCAATTGCTACAAACCTACCATCTTCATCTGCTTCTATAACTTTAGCCGAAAATTTTTTATTTACATAAATAACCACACCATTCTTTTTTTGCAAAGTTGAAGATATAAAATGCGTTCCTAGTTTGGAGTTATCAAATATTTTTGATCTTGAACTGTAATATGCGTTTCTTGTAAACAAATTATATCATTATTAAATTGTTTCAAATATGCAAATAATTTCTTCCTTTTCTGTACTGAATTCAACCCATTCACATTCCAAGATAAACACTTAATCATCATCTTTATCTTCCTGGAGCAAAGAGCAGAATAACCGAATGTCTTCCAAAATCTTCGGTCTCGCTCCCCCCATGGCTCCAGTCTCTTGTGTAGTACTCTTAGCTTCCTTTTTATCTTGTCGCTGTTGTTGCTTTTCTTTAAGTTGCTTAGACTTAGCTCGGGTTATACGCTGATCCTTAAATTCAACCATTTGCACCGGGTCCAAAATTGGAGAAGATTCCAGCAAAGGCTCATCCAGAAAACCTCCTTCAGCGCCCTGCG